TATTGTTTCCGGGGTAGTCTGTTGCAGCCTATGCAAGAATGTAACTAAGCGATTGTTACTTTACATCAACTGGAGAGTAATTGAGAGGTCTCACATTGTCTGTGTTGGGTTAGGCTGGAGTTTAGAAGCTATGGCATTAGCATCTCGTGGGATCACTAGTTTTATTAGAATGATATTGAAAGTAAAAACCATTAAATGCATACTCTTGTTTGGTGCTTCACTGCTTCATATAATTAGAAAGATTGAACTTGGTATTCTCTCTGTATGTTAAGTCCATAAATCTGATAAATAAACGCTCAATGTGTGTGACCATGGAGGGGCGGGGGCGGGGGGGGGGGAGTGTATTGTATCTTCATCCAATATGGTGTGTGACTACGTGCCTTTTTTTTTTTTGGGGGGGGGGGGGTTCATGTGTGTGGGACTTTGGAGGGGAAGACATGACTCAACTAAAGGCTGCTACTCCCTCCCACTAGAGAAAGTATAATGTGTTTCATTGTTTTTTCTCTTTCGTCATAAAACATAACCAAACAATTTTAACTTTATTTATCTTTGTAACCATTCAAAATGGTCACATCAAATTGGGATGGATGGACTGTAAATTACAATACAAAAAAAAACTTTAGGATATTCAGTCCAATAAAAGTATAAAATCTTACTTTCGAAAAGAACTCAATAAAACCGCAACCATAATATAGTGTGATCACATTTGTGTGTGTGAGTGCGGGACTTTGGAGGGAAAGACATAATTGATAAAATTATCACACCAACAACATATGATTTTTTTTTAAATTTTAATTTGGGAGAGCTATATACTGTTTCTACAATTACTATGCCTTAATGCTTATAATACTAGTAAATGATAAATACATTGAGCTTTTACAATTTATCATTTTACACGCTATATTCTGATAAGTCATCCACTTACTCTGTAATATTTATACAACAATTATCATCATTATCTACACGTATCTCAATTAGTTGGGATTTATGACATTAGATTTATAATGCCAATCAATGATATAGAATTAATTAACACTATAAATTCATGCAAAGTTGCACAATGGTATCATGCACTGATGCCACATGCATCGAAATCATTTTGGTACACCTCGGAGTTGAGAAATTTGGTTATCAATTTCAAGATTAATATGTAAAGACCAAGATGCAAATCATTTAACACGAGACATGACCATACAAGCTAAAGAAACATTTGTTAGAGTGAAACCCTAACCTGCCTTCCCCCTCTAAATTCCATTCCCAAGTATGCTATTTGGGCCTTTTACCTTGATATATTTATCATATGATCACAGTATACTCCATTAAGTTTTAAGACTTTGAAACATTTGACCCACAAATATGTCTTAGGTACTTCTACCCTAACCTGTTACTCCCTTCGTCCAGAGTTAGTTGCCCTCTTAGTCACTTACTAAAATATCTCATATTTAAGAGGTAATGTAAATTACCAAATAAGTCCTTTAAATAAGTTTGACATTCATTAATGTCATCATTGTCAATAAGCTATCTAGAGGTATATTAAATAATCTATCATAATTGTTTACTAAATATGAAAAGTGGACAACAAGTTTCAGTCACACAAAACGGGGTTGTGAACGGCTAAATCTAGGTGGATGGAGTATTTCCCATTACTTTTCATTATTTCTTGTACAACAACAATGCCAATAAATCATGTAGAAGTCTCACAGGGGGTGATTTGGGGAGGGTGTCATTTTTTCTACCCGGAAAGTAGAGAGACTATCTCCAAGAGATCTCCGACTCAAGACACAGGAGCACAAAGATGTAGGAAAGTTGCATGAACAGAGAAAGTGCTCAAGCAGGACAAACAAACAAGCAGAAACTACAAGCCGAGGTACAAAAACACGCAAGCTAAGACCACAAATTAAGACCCAAAGGACCACCATACCACCATAATCCTAGATCTGTAGGCGCCACTATCTAAATCCATATTTTCACTAAGCTTCTGAAGCTGTAAGTGCTGCCCAATCACCTTCTTCCACCTTTTATTAGGTCTACTTCTACCCCTCTTCATGCATCATGCCACTATCTGAACCCTCTCCCACCTCACTGTGGCATCCATATTTCTCTTCATTAAGTGCAAAACATCTCAGTCTTGCTTCTGGCCGCTTATCATCCACACCCACTCTCCTTCAAATAACCTCATTCCGTATCTTATCCAAACCATCTAAGTCATTATTTCTTGTAAACTGGCATATTTACTCAACTGCCACTTTCTGATTCACTAATTCAGCTACAAAAAGCATATTAGTGAAACACTTTAGTTATTTTGATAACTCTTGTCCTATTATGACAACAACTCAAATTGGAGCACCGCAGGTGCTCCAATTTGAGTTGTCATAATATTACCTTATTGTTTGTTGTCAAAAGAAGGGGGCTATTAATTTAGATTATATTCCTTTTCATAATCTTACTTCATTGACATTCATTCTAAGCATTGTAAATTTTTTATGCACTTCGCTTATTTCTTTTCCAAATTATTGAGTGCCCTGCCTTCTGCTTTGCTGCATCTGTATACTAGAATTGTTTGAGAAGTCTATTTGCATGTTTTGTTCTCATTTTTCTGGACATCATCATTTCTTATGGATAATGCAGCAAAAGAAGAAGGTCAGCAAACTAAAGCTTTTCTGCATGTGCTAAAGTATTCCACTGGAGGAATTCTTGAGGTAATTTTTCCCCAAATATTTGTATTTGGTGATTGTCTTTTTAGTACTTCAGGTATGTATTTCTCTTAAATTCTACTCCGTAACATGCAGTATAGGATATTAGGATTTATAGCATTGATGTATGTTATTATGCTGTTATGCCACACGGACTGTTATGAACCTGTCAAGTAGGGCTGTAATTGCAGGTGGATGATAAAAATATGAAATATTGAATTTAATATGTCCCTTTTATAGATACACCTATTTTCACATAAGTATTCTCAATTCTCTGAAGTGTGTCCCAGGAGAGAGTGAGGTCGAGAGACCTTAAACTAAATATCTAATTAAATAAATTTTCATGAACTGTATGTGCAAAGATCTGAAAGTGTTATTTAAAGAGGAGTTCTTAACAATAACAAATATAATACTCCGTAACTCTTAGAACAATCTCTCAACTTACCACATAGTGGTAAGGTCTGCGTACACTCACCCTCTCCACACCCTACTCTGTGGGGCTTTATGGTGTATTTGCTGTTTAACACATATACTTGTGGAATTTGATATCATCTTACGGATTTAACGGCTAGCATGTCGACTATGATTTCAAAGAGCAGAGTTGAATAAACTAACACAATCAACAAACATCTCGTGCTAATTGCTAACATTCACTACTTCCTAAACAGGGTCTAGTCTTTGAATTCATCAATAATAGGTAACCAAGAGCTAATACCACCGACTA